GTTTGTTTTTTCAAGCTTTGTTCATGATAAACCAATAATTGCCTCTCGCGGATTTCACTTTTCCTGGAAACGCTGCACCTATAGCACATGTGTTCCATTCCATTCGCGGTTTCTAGTCTTCTAATTTAATTAGCGGTTGCTTTCTCCTTTCCCCACCTTGTGCGGCTCTTGTGAATTATGCTAATTGGATGTTTCATATAGTTGTTGAAAGTAGATAACAAAAGCCCATTCTAATACGACAATACATCTTTCCTATTTTATAGGCGAGTTTTCTTGTCGTTCCCCATCACAATTGTGGTTTTTGCAGACAGGGCGGACATATATGTATGCACACCAATATTTAGACAAACTATCATACAAAGTTGTGGTTTGTAAGGTAGCGTGGTATAGGGGAGCACTGGTTTCTGTAGTCAAGGTGGAAGTACAAATATCAAAAAATATTTCGTCGAAGCGTCCAGGAACACTTATCCAAAGCCTGGCGACAGCCTATGTAGTACTTTGATGGGTGGTTACAATATTTTCAAAGAAGGGTTCATATTAAGTATCATGTGATTCACCGGCTGTAGCCGAGTTTCCTTTTTCACTGCCTAACATATGCGCCTTACTGCGTGCTCCATTCGATGCGGCCTCACCACGTTGGGAAAGGAAGTGGTCTGGGTATAGGGGGAGGGGTCGTAGTCGCTTCCGAAAACTGCTCTGAGCTCACAGCTCAAGACCAACGAACTAATGAACACCTCATTGCAAGCAGCTGGACTGATCTGTTAACCCCTGGTTAGCAAGGAAGGGGAAGTGATATGTTGTGGTTTTTGTTCAACACCAAGACGAGATTAATACAGGTCAACCGTTCTTTGTGATTGAACGTTACTCACAAATGTGGAAAAGATGCGTCTCAAAAGAAAGCTTGCAACTACCTTGTTTTCTCTATAATTATTTCAAAGTTGTGTTGCAGATGGGACTTGCACAAAAAGTTGATAGGGGCGGCCGCAAGCAACGCAAGGAACGAAGAAACCGACAAAAGAAGGTGCGCGGTGTCAAGAAGGCAAGCGTTACAGCTGGAAAGAAGTAAATCGACATGGATCGTTGTTGATTTGTTTTGTTATGTGACGTTGATAAAAACGTTGAACAGTATCGCTGTGTAACTCTTCTTTACATGGAGTCATTCCTCTGATGTACTGCATAAAATATGAAAAAACATAGTATATGTCCACATAACTTAAGTTTGTTTTAAGTGTTGGTCTTTCAAGGCAAGATGTCGTCCAATGTCGGCTTACAACTTGATGAAATAGCAAAGTGTGAGTGAATAAAATGTAGGCACGTTCTCTCTTAATTACAACTAATCAAAAAGATATGGTGTACAGGAATAATTTTGTTCTATTTGCTCGGCAAAGTGTTGCTTTGATCAGTGATCGCGTTCATATCTAATTTCGTACTCGACATACAGACAATCACTCAAAAAAGTTGGGTGTAGATACGGCGGAGAGCCAATTTTTATGGCCAACTTTCGTCCATGCCTTTCTAGATCTCTCAGGTTCATGCTTATAACTATTGCGAAGAAGGCAGTGTTTCAAGAGTTAATTGGAATTTGTCTAGGAATCGTCTTCTTGGTTTGCTTTGGAAGTAATTCTTCTGAAGGAGGCATCAGAGCGAACATGTGTCAGTTCGTTCTGTTCACATTCCCCTTACAAATACCATTCTGTCCATTTGGGGGACTGGTGCGTGTTATTTGTAATTCAGAAACTATATGTACCACAGTCTACTTTAACATGAACACACTTTTTGCGCCACAACACATTTTTTTTGGACAACGTTACCTTATTGAAGCAGGCGATCATTCGGCCCGAGGCACCACCTTAGTACGAGTTACAATAGAGCTGCGCATTGTCCTCGCATGTGGAGCACACAGATCACTTCTATGTTTATTTGCGAATCACGTAGGAACATTAGTGTCGCTGATTTTTCTAGTGCTTGTAGGACGGATTTGGAACATAACTTGAACCATATTCCATCATATAGCTGGTTTAATAATCTGGATCAAGGCTAAAGGTCTTGATAATGTTTTGGGATGTAGGTGTTGTTTGTTGTTCCAACAGATTTTAGCCTATAAATATTTTATTTATAGTATAATATTTAGTTTAATATTTTAGCCTCTTGTACAAGTAAGACCTTATAATGCTGTTTCAAAATTGTATAGAAGTTCTTTTGTTAAAATCTGACTCGGACTTTCGGCATGAACATCAGGCAACATCACGTTCTCCCCTGAGACACGGTACCATTGGGACCGAACTTTACAGGCTGTGCGGGACGCACTGTTGGCTGATATTCTGAAGTGGGACTCGCACAAATTGCTCATATTTATTATTTATATCATTACTTACAATATATTACACTCGAAATAATTGTGCACAACGTGGTTCAGCTTTTAGACTGTGCTAGGCGTACCTAAGGTTTTCTATTTTCTTTCTTTGGATCTGGTTTTAGGACCGCATTCCAAAGCCTATCCTCTAGGGTGATAAAACATAAGGTTGGTGTCAGGCTCGGCGACTGAACAATCGCGGTAACCGGCTCAACACGTTATACGTGTGAGTGCTGAAAGCTATGGTACGTATACCATGAAAAGCTGAGTTGGAATGAAATGGTGCCCCGGTAGCGTAACTGGTAGCGCACTTGCCCGGAAAGCGAGAGGTGCGGGTTCTAGTCCCGCCTGGGGCGAAAGTTTTGTTCACAACCCAGCATTCTTGTGAAACAATCGCGGTAGCGTTGTCGCGTGCGCGCTGATGAGAGAGCACGCTTTCAAGCGTGGAAAGTGACGCGTGTGCGGTGTGGTTCACTAGGACGGAAAGCGAGATTTTCGCGTTTCGTAGCGCGAAAGCGCGGATTGTAGTATATACAAATGTACCTGAATTACAAATAAAGACACCCGTCTCTCCAAATAGACAATCGGTATTGTGAAGAATTAATTAGAATTGTGAGAACGACACATCTTCACATTAACTGTTTAACGGCTCTTTCAGAGTGCATAAGCTACTCCAAAAAGGAATCAAGAAGGCGATTTTTAGGATAAACACTAGTTTACTTTGTTCGGAACGCATCCTTCTTCGTAACAGGACAGCGCTGTGGCCAAGTCCGAATCTACCCAAGGGAGCTTCCCTGCTATCGGCGCGCTATGCAGAATGCTCCACTCACACGCCACTTGCCTAATGGGGTTTGGTTAGAGACCTCTCCCACCCCAATGACTGCTTTAATCTTGACGCAACGAGTGTCGTGATTTCCCGAAGCGCACATTCCGTCTTTTTTATTCAGGCGCCTAGTATAAAGGCAGCCTAAACACTGGCGGTCATCAAAATAAAAAAAATAAAAAAAAACTACCTTCGGGCAGCATCATTGGAGCAAATCTAAATCGCGCTCATTTTTTTCTGCTCGTGTAACTCATGCTGGGTCATTTTTTATGCGTTATTAACAAGCTCGCCTTATCCCCACTTTGTACATTATGGCTGCAGATTTAACCATGATCCCCTGTTTTAATTCATGCATTACCAAGAAATATACTTTCGACTTCCTTTTGCGAAGTGCTTCTCGCTCCAAGTGATAGTAAAATTAAACGGTTGTTTGAACAGAGTCACAATTCATTATTTAGACATTGATCGGATGAAGGAGCAGAAGAGATCCACCGAAAAATGTATTGCAGACATCGAAAAAGATCGATCGGGACTTGAAGAACGAATTGAAGTGAGTTACTCTCCAGGAGCATGTAGTTTTCCTTACAAATCGTTTGCAGGAAATGAGGCGCAGAAGAGATGAATTAGATGAAAGGTTACGTGTTGAGCAAGAGCGACTCCTTCGACAGGAACGCACAATTCGTCAAGTATGTCTGTAGTATTTATTTATTGCACCACTGCCAAAAGCGAATGCCGTACTCGTATTCAGGGCACCGTAGCTCCTAGACGAAGTCTACCGTTTTTTTTTTAGATTTAAGCACAGTAGCAGTGGGGGTTTGCCGAATATTTTCGTTCCTGGTCCTCTCGTCGTGGCATTGTCACTAATCCGCCGATAATGTTTATGGTGTTAGGTTATTCCATAAGTAGGCGGTTTTGAACCCCAATTTCTTTTATCGTGCTATTTAAAAGAGATTTGTTTGCTCTTCAAAAGGCGGTGCTTCGCTCTTACATTATTTGAAGGGATTTGGGATTTTAGGCCTGCAATTTGGGAGAGCCAGCCGACGAAAATTGGGCAAACTAGCTAAGTAGCCACATCTAGCTCTAATTCTATTATTCCGATAAGTTTCCAAGGAATATCGACCATTGATGTTCCTTTTACTCGATCCGACATCTTCTGAACATCCCACTGTAGTGCTCCCCAACAAGTAGATGCTTAAGCATTGTGGCGTCAAATCTTGACAGCAAATATACAGCCGAGTGGTCAAAAAATTGTGGAACGTCAAAAACCAGTTATGAGTAAGCTTATCATGTATGCCTGATTGATTCCATAACTTCTAAGGAAATTTACAAAACTCAACTCAACTGGTGGATGGCTTCCTAGAGACATTGGCTCTGAATAAGCAAGACCGCTTTTGATCAGCCTTCTAGATAAGATCGTAATGGCCCATGATCCGTCGAAAACCATGTTCTCAAAACAATACCGTCTGATGTCGTCAAAGTAAAGGACTCTTAACAATTTCGTGATTGAATTTTAGAACGAAAACCGCTTGGCTCAACGGCTAACCAGAAAGAAAAATTCGAAAAGGGACATGTCATGGCTTTTTCGTTAAAGCCATGCTCAGAGGTACGCGAAAAAACGCACAGGCGAAAATCTCCGCCAAGATTTAGATACGCATCGACTGAGAAATTGGGAAACGCGTAAGCGAAACGTCCGGAGCAGGCGAATTTCAGTCAAGAGTTTGATATGTATCGACTGTGAGAAACGCACAGGCGGAAAATCGCGTGAGCGAAGCGTTCGGAAGTCGATGCGTATGATACTCATTTTCGTCGATCCTCCCACTTCACGATTCTCCTACGCGTCGTCGCTCTTATATTATATTATTTATTTT